TATGTGTTTGTGTTTGTGTAGTTATATGTGTGTTTGTGCAGCTATATGTGTGTTTGTGTTTGTGTAATTCCCTGGTTCCTTCTGTGCTTCCTTATTTTTCTTACATGATTCCTTGTCTACTTCCTTACGTGCTTATTTGATTCCTTGTTTAATTTCTTGTATGCTTCCTTAGATGATTTGATTCCTTTTTTTCTTCCTCTGTCTTCTTTGATTCTTTACTAGCTTTACTTACACACTTATTCATTAATAACTTTATAGTTTCATTTCTTAAAATGTAATCAAAACTTGTAGGTTTCTTGTTTCCTCATATAATTGGTCATCTATCTACTGATTAATCTAACACTTTTATTAGTTAAATACCAGTTGAGCAACAAATTGCAGATACCAAACTTGATGTGCTTGTCCTATAGCCAACAAGGTTGTACCAAACCAGAATAGATCTTCCCATCCATGGTCATGACTGTCCTAAACAATATAAAGGTATTTTCATATCTTAACACGTCTTGAAAATTTTATCCAGTCAGAGCAACCAAACCAAACCGGACAAAGGTTTATAATACTTTCTTTTATTGTAAATCACACACATGGAATTGAACATTTTATTTTTGCTTCTCAGGTCTACAAGAGTGTAAAAATCAGGTCATGTTCTTACTCAAACTGGACTAAGGTTTGTAATAATAAATTGTTTTTTTATCTTCTTAAATCATATAATCTACATAAGGAGCTTTAAAATGGTTGAAAAATGTAGGAGCTAAACCAATAACCGTAACAAGAAACAGATTTTGCTGGGTAAGTTGGTTTTAATCGTTTTGAAATTATATAGTAATTTAACACACTGCTTCTCCTAACTTGTATATTTAGCAGTTATGGATAGTTGTAAAGCCAGAAGTTTCATGGGGGTCTAGTGTGTCACTTAGCTTTCTTCTTATGTCGTCAATGCAATATGCTATCACGTTCTTAGGCTAGTCCTCGAACTGTAAGTATCTGATCTTCTGTACTTCCAGGATATATTTTCACTACATTATGTCTGAGCATGTCGACCTTTTTATTACATGTAAAAGATAACATTGCAACCCCCAGAACCTCCATACTACTCTGAAACCGTTCTTTACGTTTTTGCGTATTCTCTTACGGATTCTATTTGCAGATAAAGTACCTCTCGAAAGGGGACACCGTTGTTGACTATGCATGCTTTTCTGATTCACATGGAAATCGAAAGCAATATAGTAGCAGCAAAGGTAAATATCGTTCATTCCATGATATCTTTGAAATACATACAACGACTAGACAAGAATTTAAGGACATTTGATGGCATGAATTGCAGGTAAATGGTTATCTTGTTTCTCCAACTCACGTTCTTGAGAATTGTTGATGTCGTGGAGACTGTCACCTACAACATTTTGTACCTTTTCTCTCGTGCATTTTTTCTCATTTCTCGTTTTCTTTTTTTTCTACGTACGGAAATTATGTTTAGCTTCATCAGCTCTACCGAGGTTTCATGAGCTTTCATGTTTCTTCTTTCTGTTACAGCCCCTCTCAACTAAATCTGCTTTCCAGAGACATAAACAGTGGTTGAAACATGCCAAAAAAAAGAGTGCGAGGCAGAAGATTATGAGGGTATATTATTGGTATTCACTTACTTTATGCTTATTGGCTCAGTTTTACTAATTCTTCATGTCTCTCCTCTTGTTCAAGTCATGTCTTTCCTCTTGATAGTGATGCAGAAGATTCAAGAAAGAGCTTACAATGGTGGGAGAAAATCCTCGTCAATGTCAAGCTGTTCCCAGTCACAAGACAAAATCAGATATACATCACAAGAAAAGGGCAGAGATATTACCCACTTCTCAAAATGGAAGCACTTGGTCCCAAAGGTGAATTGAAAACACAAATAAAATGCATTAGAAACTCGAGTTTAGATGAGTCAAAGTTCCTCTTACCAGGAGATGGAATTGCCAAGATTTTTCCTGCTAACATCCCTGCTTATAGAAAAGTGTGATAGTTGGCGAGACAGTAAAAGCTCGAAGGTCACTCCATCAAATGGTTCTGCATAGTATCCATGGATCGCAGAGGTATGTTATCCTTGATTTCTTGTAGTCGTGATTTTTTAACAACTCGAAAGTAAACCAGAATATCTTTTTGGCACATTTTGGCAGGCATATTCTCAAAGGTTACAACAGTCCTTGCAGCTGAAAGCATCACAGTACGTTCTTGTTTAGTAGCCTTGATATTAACTTACCTCTGAACATATTATAGTTTCTGACGGCTCATCTCACAAATCTTATGGTTTATTCCATGCCGCGATTGGCCAAGGAAGAGGATTAGAAGTAATGTTTGCTTCTGTGGATATGTAACTCCCAGGTTAGTGTTTTGCGCAGGTGGATCTAATCTTGGGATGATCGAGTGGTTTTAGCTGGCCAAAATCAACGGATGATGCTCAAGTTCTTGAGTGTTAAAGCCAAAAGACTCACGTTCTTGGCCATGTTTTTTCTTCTTACTTTTTTCTTTGATTCGTTGTTTCTTTTGCTTGCGTGCTTCATTACGTTCTTGCTTTGTTACTTGCTATATTCAGTTTGTTTTCTTGCTCAACTTGTTTGCTTTTGCTGCTTCTTTGATTACTCTGCTTTGTGTATTGCTTGTTTCTTTGCTTCTTTGATTCCTCTTTTGTGCTTCCTTGATTCTTCTGTTTATTACATTGTTTGTTCTTTTGATTCCTCTGCTTAGTGTATTAAGTGTTTCTTTGCTTCTTAGATTCTTCTTCTGTATAATAAATTGTTTGTGCTTTTTTGGGCTCAACCATTTTGTTTGCTTATTTGATTCTTTGTTTAGTGCATTTGCTTGTAGGGATGTCAAATGGGCTGTCCTGGTCCAAATGGGCTAGCCCAAATGGACTTATGGACATAGCCCAAAAAGGGCCATATCCAAATGAAGACCAAACCAACTAAGACCATGACCAATTGGACTGTCCATGAGGTCCATTACATAAACACAATGTATAAGTTCATGCATGAGGAAAACGTTTATAACTCCTAATCTTTTTGAACTTTTGATACAAGTTCATACACGAGAAAAACGTTCATACAAGTTCACCAAATGTTCGTTCTTTTGATTTTGCAAAATCATACATATAAATAACCTACTAATTTGTAACTCGAATCTTCTTTCTTCGTTCTTCTTCTTGTTCTCCATCTTCATCTTCTTTAAAAAAATCAGATTCTACCTATCAAAGAAAACAAAACAAAACTATCACTAAGCTTTCACCGCTTTCACAAATTACTAAACAAAACTAAGTTACAAGAATTAATAAACTTGCTGATTTCCTCAAAACCCCTTGACCAGTTCCTTGCACAAATCAATGTGATGGGACTATAATGAAATGTACGTTATTATCTATACTAGTGAAATAGTGAATATTGTGGGCTGTGGCTGTTGATGACACGAGCTACTCTCCAAAATCATGTTAACTACAGACACAACGACAACGTGCATGTTTTGTAAAGTAGCTAACTAAAGTAACAGAAGATAAGAGCAATATAACATGCGGTAATGGACGGAACACGGTAATAGCCTCTGTGATTCTCTCTTATCTTGTTCTTTTGTTCTTTTTCTATATGTGTCCACATTATTATTTCATGGGTTTTAGATCCCCCGGGGTATTGCATTAGATAGAACGAAGGTGTATCATGTGCTGATTGCAATCAGTACTGCAGTTTTCCTCGTGGTTATGGTAGTTGCGAGTGGAAAATATGGAGCCGTGTGTGCATATGTCATTATAGGTGTGCCCGAGCATGTTCAATGGTGACATTTATCAAAGGTGTCTAAAACAACTAACTAATTTTAATATTGTTTTAATTTTTAGACACTCATACATGAGTCCTATTTAAGACACAAATCATAAATATTAGACCAACATTTTAATTAAATTTGATTAAAATCAAT